TTCCTATGTTGTGCTTACGAGATCTAGTCCCGTTAATTTTATGGTGGCTTAAAACCTAATTCTGATGTTATGTGCTTCTAGACTAGTTTTTATTTGATTTATAGTGATTTTGTCCTATTTGAAAATTGTTTAATATTTCTGGTTTGTTTTATTGGTTATTGAGCATATTGAGTGGTTCAGATATGGTGCATTGTGGTTTCTATGGTGAAAGTGGTGGGCTTACAACTTTTGATGAGGGCAAGAATTACAAGAAAAACTAACTTGCAAAGCTATTGTATGTTTGTAACTGAGCTACCTTATTTTGGTTTTATACTTCATCCTTTTAGGGCCATTTTCATAATTTGATACATCAGTTGTAAAATCCTTCATCACTTTTAGGAATAGTTATTCCCTACCCCTCCTTTAGGAATGAAATCTCAATCCTGCTGACTCCCATTTCCATTCCGATTCCAATTCCAAAGGATTCTGATTCTGACTGTAAACCAAATGAACCCTTAATTTTTATAAATCTCTCTCTCACACACACAACATTAGCTTTCTTCTTTAACATGGCTCATCACTAAGGATGCTACTTCGCATCCAAACAAAAGCCAACATGTAATTAAAGCAAACTGTTTGTCCTTTTGATCTTCTCACTAGCACAAGAGCAAAAGATGTTGTAAAAGACGAAATCGTGAGTTTATCATAATTAAATGCCTTCTTTTTTTTCAATTATAGGTTTTGCCAATAAATAATTTCCTTTCTCTGTACTTTAGATGTTTGTGCTGATGTTAAATTCTTGTAACTTGGGATTACATATTTACAATGTATTACTTGTAGTTTGGGGGTGCTACAGTTTTGTTCATACTCCAATGAGCAAATGCATTAAGAAAAGACATCTTGGTAAAAGTCTGAATATTCAAGGCCAAACCAAGGAATTAAAATTTGTTTGTTTCCCCTTGAGTTCACCCAATTTGGATAGTTTCTTTTAGTGGAAGCTATTGGATTTTCATCAACCAAGTGATATGGAGAAAAAATGCATTCTCATGGTTAGACCTGTTCATGGGCTGGGTAGCCTGACGGCTCGGCTCGACTCATTTATATAATATAAAATATATAATATTTATTATAATATATATATATATATATATTAATAATTTAATATATACACTTTTTATTTTTTTTCTTTCTCTCTCTCTCTCCCTCTATTCAGCAGCGACATGAGTTATATACTTCGAGCTTTTATGAGGGCCTGGCTCGGGTCCAAGTTGTAGGCCCGATGGTCAGGTCGGGCTCAGGTTCGGACCTTAAAAAAATCCGTTAATGCAAAATGAAAGCCCGGCCCATGAATAGGTCTACTCATGGTGGATTTTTCCCAATAAATTTGTACAATAGCAGTGTGGGCTTTTAAGTAACAGAGTGTAGAAGGATTCACCATTTGCCTCATTTTTAAATTGACCTATCGTTATGGGGAAAATCTATGATACAGAAAAGATATAGTATGGAAAAAATTTTGGCGAATCAAAACCCACCCATAAATTTTGATAAATAACACCTTATTCGCTACCACGTTTATGATTCCAATTTATTGGTCAGTTGCTTTTTGGATACCATATCTTTTTCATATCATAGTCAAACCCATCGTTATGACATGTTTTCTCTTAAACTCAGATTGAGTTATAGTGAAAGAGAATACTGTGTTTCCTTGGTTCAATAATTTAAGACAAGACCATTGCATTTTCAATTTAATTTCTTACATCTTTCTCATATTTGAATATGAAGTAGACAAATTGTATAAAAATATATAATGGGGCCAAATTTGATTGCCAACCAGAGCTAACCAGGTGACATTAAGATTGAACAAGGGCACCCTTATGCATGGGTTCCTTGGGCCAGTTTGGAAAGCCATCTCCTAATGGGACTAGAACTCTTCAATGGACATGGTGTACCTCTTTTTAGGGGTGCAACCTTTTTCTGGGTTAGGGTTGGGATTTTGTTAAAATTTCAATAGGCCCAACTCAAAACCCGAACCCAAAACAGTATAAACTGTTAAGTTGGGCCAACCCGATTCGCACACCTACCTCTTCTATAAGTAACTAAGACGCACCTTGGATAAGGTATGCACACTCCAACCCTCCTTTTGCTCTACACCTTGTCCTTAGCCTTCTCGTCGATTTAGCCACATTACCCACTTATTGACTGACTTAAGCATCCGAGGTTTCTACACCAGGGACACACCTTGGGGATCTTTGATTTTGTTGTAGGCCTCTACAGAAACAACTCAATTCGTACATTCTCATTTCCTCCATTTTTATCTATTGCTAGTTTCTAACGACAACAATATCATTTGAACATATTGTCACAGTAATATAATGCTTAATCTAAAAAATATATCATATATTACATAATTTGATTAATTATAAATAGATGATCTAGTAGTCCTCAGTTTTCTTTTTTGTACCCAGCACAGGTCTCCTTCGCTAGTCTATATATCTGTTAAAAAAAGTCATGCCATGTTAGCATGCCTCTCCTCCCCCCCCCACCCCTTTTCTATTTTGTGTTTTACTTTTGAATTTTTTATTTTTAAAATTGAATAAAATAACTTAAGTAGCCAATCATCTTTAAGACTTTTATCTCTTCTCATTAATTTACCAATATTTACTCTCTATCTTTCTCTCTTCTTTTTCTCATTAACCCCTTTAGTTATTTCTCTTCATTAATCATGTCATTAACTTTCTCTCATTCAATAACTCACTCTACTAAATCCCTATCCTCTTAATTACTCCATTAAATTGATTAAAATTCATTATCTATTTTTTCTTTTATTTTGATTTTTTTAATTCTTTAAAAAATGAATAATAAACCAAACACACTTTGCTTAGGGGTGACCATTTCAACCCAACCAAGATATTCTAAAGGCCTAGGTTTTGTGTCAAGGCCTGTCTCAAGCCCCCAACCCCCAACAAAGGGTGACAATGACATTCAACCTTGAGTCCTCACAACAACTAGCAAACTAGCTGGCACCTTCACCACTATACAATACCTACAATGCCCTTAATGGATTTATGGACATCAATGGTCAATTTCTAAGTTTAGACCAATCCATGTATCATGCTTCATATACAAGAGAAATAATGGAGAAACAATGAAGGAAATAGAGAATAACAATTAATATAAATAAATAAGTTATATTAGCATTCAAATTTGATAATACATTATAGGGTTCGACTATAATACTAGAAAGACATGATATCCAAAATTTTTTTGCCAACCATCATCATAAACATGTTACTCAATCAGGTGAAATTTATCAAATTTCACATGTGGGTTTTGATTGCTCAAAACTCTTCCAATACCTTGTCTTTCAGGCATTATTGATTTTCACTATACTATACCATTAATTATATATTTATTTATGCATAATTAAAATGGTTATTTAATTAATATTAACAACATTGCACAACATACTTATTTATTTATTAAATAAAAGCTACATATAAATAACAAAATAAATACACATACATTCAAACAAACAATATTTATAATATCAGTACTTAATTAATTAACTGTATGTATTATAAAAGTGATATTAATTAATTGTAACTTTAATTGAAATTACACTTTAGAATTTTTGAAAATAAAAATTTTAATTGATTAGCAACAATTATTTTAAAACCATTTAATTAAATTTTAAAATTAATCCATACAAGATAATAAAATTTCAAAAATTCTAAAATGCAAAATTAATTGATAACATTTTAAAATAAAAAAATCAATTAATAAGAAAGAAATTTTATAATTATTTGATAAAATGATGGTGTTATTTATTAAATGAAATTTAGATAAAATACTACATTCAATTTAGATCATTAGAAATAAAAGTTTAAAAATTAATGAGAAAATAGGATAATCTTCACTTTACCCCACCTCACACATTTTTATTTGTTTTCAAGAATTTTAAATAAAATATTTGTAAAATTTAAATAATTTAATAAAAGATAAAAAGTAATACAATTAGGAATGCCATAATGCTCCTTCTAGGGGTGCAACTCAGGTGGGTTGGGTCAAATTGAGGGTCCATTTCAAACCTTAAGCTTGGGCTTGGCCCAACTCAAGGTCTAACCTGAATTTAGCAAACCAAGCTCAAAATTGAACTTAGCTCAACACATCTTAAGTTGTGCTTAAGTTCGGATTGAACATAGAATAGATTGATAATATTTAGATATGTATAGATGTGTAAATTAGGCCATGCTAGATTGGCATGGCACGACCTGTGTGCGACCCGTGCAAAGTGCGAGATGTGATGTGTCATGCTTCCCTTCCCTAAGATACTTTGGAGGATCGGCCCAACATAGCCCACAACTCGAGCCTAGGTGGGTTCGTGTTGTGCCATAGGCAAGCTGGTCCACAGGTTGAGTCTTGGGTCAGGCCGGACTACGGATCGGGCCAAGCCATGTTTTTTAAAAATTAAAAAAATGAAAAAATTAACATAAATTAAAAAATAGACAAAATTCTAAAAGATCTTAAAATTTTATTTTATATGAATTTTAATATGTATAATTGTTTATATATATGACATATGATTTAATTCTTATATATAATAATTGTATGTATAATAATTATTGTTATTATATAATTATTATATTATTTAATTTTATATATATATATATATACTGGGCCATAGACCTAAAACCCTAAGCCTGACGGCCCATACGATTGTGCTGTGCTTGGCATGGCCCATAGTCCGTTGTGCCAGGCCGGCTTACAATGATGCCCGATTTTCACCTTTAGATATGTATACCGTCAAATGTTGGGTATACTCGGATCGAGGCTCAGGCTACCGAAAGTCTCAAGTCTCAACCCAAGTCCAACCGGAATTTAGGTTGGGATGATTTTTTTTTTCCCCAACTCAAAGCCCAAAARCTCAAGCGCTATATATGCAAAAACTGTGGTTGGACCGGGTCGAGCTCGGGTTGGGTCCGCCCTAGTTATACCTCCTTTTGTCATACGTGCGTTGCACGTTTCCCTGCTGAACTCGATGATCTCTTTTGAGATACGCAAGTAACGCCACTGCTCAGGCGCTCAAAGCACTTACAGAGTCCAAACCCTAAACCCTGCCAGCGGCCTTGTTGCATAGAGCCGCGGTAACTGCCTTCTGCTTTTCCCGCCATGGAAGGCTTGGAAATGCAGGAAGCGTCGCTCACCATGGAAGAAACCGATGATCTCTGCAGCTCTATCTTCTCTCGATTCAGCAACTCCACTCAAGAAGACCATCAGCGCCTCTGCGCAGTCGTCGGCGCCATGTCTCAGGAACTCAAAGACCAGAACCTCCCTTTAACACCACTAGCTTACTTTGGCGCTACCGTCTCTTCTCTACATCGCCTCTCAACCGAATCCGAAGCATCCGATCCTGTAATTGCCGGTCTTCTCACTCTTCTGTCCATGGTTCTCCCGAGGGTCTCCGTGGCTGTTCTTAGAAAAAAAAGGGATTTTGCATCGGGGCCGGTGGTTCGAGTCCTTCGTAATCAGTCTGCAACCGTTACTGCGTTGACATCGGGATTGAAGTGTATTTCGCATTTGCTCATAGTGGGTGACAAGGCTAGTTGGTCGGAGATAGCTGACCTTTATGCGCTGCTTCTTGGCTTTGTCACCGACTCTCGCCCTAAGGTAATCTTATAAGCTTCATTGTTTCTATCATGTTTTGCAGGATAAATTGCAGTTTCTGTCCAGTTTCTAATCATTCTCTAGTTCAAAAATTTATCTTTCTACAGTTAAAATGAACGTTCTATTTAATTCGTGCCTGGTTTGTATGAGGATTGGTTTATCTTGATTCACTAATTTTGTTTCTTCTTAATTGCGTTATTTCAGTCCGAATTTTGTCTTTTTCCAGTTTAAAGATTAATATTCTTATGGACTAATTGGGCATCTCTTTTTCATTAAATTTTTTCTTATTAACATTTTCACGAAGTTTGCATTTTTTGGTGGTGGTGGTGGGGGTGGGGGGGTCTTGACCATTCATTAAGGTTTTATTGGCATCCTGAAAGAATTAAATTAACTGCATTATTAAGGTTATGGATTGTGTCTTTCATAATTCCATGGAAAGCTACATATGTAACCTCTTATATTATGTGTGTTGACGAAGTTGAGTGGATGGTTATTAGGTGAGAAAGCAGTGCCATCTTTGTCTTCGCGATGTCCTGCAAAGTTTTCAAAGATCAGCAGTATTGGCACCTAGTAGCGAAGGGATCACAAAAGTCTTTGAAAAGTCTCTCCTGCTTGCTGGTGGATCAAATTCTACTGCATCTGAAGGACCCAAGGGAGCTCAGGAGGTTCTATATATTCTTGATGCTCTAAAAGATTGTCTTCCTCTTATGTCATTAAAGTTGACGGCTAGCATCCTAAAGTACTTTAAGTCTCTTATCGAACTTCATCAGCCACTTGTTACTAGACGAATAACAGATTGTTTGCAAGCACTTTGTCTCCATCCAACTTCAGAAGTTTCACCTGAACCACTGCTTGATCTTTTGTGTTCGTTAGCATCTTCAGTATCTGTCAATGAGAAGTCGGTGGATGCCATGACCTTCACTGCTCGCTTGCTTGATGTTGGTATTAGAAAAGTTTATAATATGAATAGGCAAAATTGTGTGGTTAAGCTCCCTCTTGTATTCAATGCACTTGGAGGTTTGCTACTTTCATTCCCATTTTATTCCTAAATTCAAATTCGTTCATTTGTTCTTGTCAATTTCTGTGAGATTGGGACATCCTCATTCAAGTTGATATTTTTTATTGTTTTGAACATGACAATATCCATAGCTATATTTATCTTCATATGTCTATGTGTCTGTATTTATATCTAGAGGTGAATTTATATAATATATGACATGTAATATATGTATAAAATCCATGTTATGCTTTGTCTAATATAAGATATTATACAATTTATCAAAAAATATAAGATATTATATATATTTTGTATTATATGTCTCATATTACAATGCTTATGTATGCAAGCGGCTACTTTAGGACAGCATCCAGTCTACCCTTCCCAAGACCCCAGATAGTTGGAACCTGCATTGGGTAATGGCTTTTTTTTTTTTGATGAATACATTGGGCAATGGCTTTTTTATTATAATATAATTGCAAGCTGGGCCTAAAGTATTGGGCCATTTGGGCTTGATGAGGACCTGGGCTGTACACAAATCCTAAGCCCAAGCCCTGAAATTTCCAGGCTGGGCGGGGGCTGGGCTACAAATGATCACCCCTATCTATATTCAGTGATTTAAAAGCTCAAGGGCCTTTTAATGCAGGATGCAAAGATCAAGGTCAAGTTCACCCCTTTACAAAGCATGGTACAAATTTTTGAAAAGAAAAGTAATACACAAAAATGCAAACTTGAATTTTAAAAGGAATTGCTTTGAAAAGCCTATTGGCTCAAAATAAAATACATAAGCAGAACATATAAAACATATTCAAAGTAAAAAAATGTGAAAATAACAACAGACTATGTGTATTGTACCAAAGTGCTTTAAGCACTCAAAAATTCAAGCATGTGAAACTTTCAACGTGCTTATTTATCTCCTAGTCATAGTTTTCAAGGCGCCAAGGCGAGGCTAGGCGACAAGCGGGTGCCTTGTTGCCTAGTCGCCTAGGCGATGGATTTTTTTATGTAGAGAACATAGATCCTAGGGTAGTTCCCTAGGTACCATAACCATATTTCCTTAAGAATTATTCATAATTTTCATAAGAAAAGTATAGAGTTCATGAAGTATAGAAAATCAACATATTCATGAGAAGAAAAAGAAGGAAAAGAAAATTAAAAAAAATATAGGGGCTGCACCCTTATTTTTGTTATAGGAAAAGAAAAGAAAATGTGTAGTAGTAGTAGCAAATCTATTGGGGGCGTCCATTTCTACAAACTGTTACAAAAATAGTAGTAGTACTAGTGTACAAACAATAATAAAAGGTAGTTTGGATGTAACAAAAAAAGGCATGTTTAAAAAGGGAACATGCTTGGACTAAGGTGCTAGGTGTACTGGGCACACGCCTTTTGAAAGGAATCACACCTAGGTTTAGGTCGCCTTTTGAAAGGAATCTCACCTAGGTTTAGGTGAGGCACATGCCTTAAAATGTGCCTCACTTGTGTGCCTARATAGAACATCTGTCTATCTATCCCTCCCTTTGGAGGGGACTTGCGAGTAGACATGTTTTTAACACAGAATTTTATTAAAACTTGAAAAAGGGATTACAAAAAGAGGTTGTTAGAACCAAAACCCTTTACAACAAAACAATCCACCGCCCTATTAACATTGAGCCCAATACAAATGATGTATATGTACTCCTTGCTTAGCTAATCCATCCACCAAGCCATTAGCAGACTCTCTGACCCATCTTACATGGATGTGCATCTGTCTTGACAACATCTTGAACCACCCGAACTCATTTCTAAATTGTGATAATACCCCTTCACTTTTCAACCAACCAATGATTATCTTTGAGTCCCCTTCTACAATCAGCCTTGTGATTCTCATTTCCTTTGCTTTTTGCATCCCAACAATTGCAGCCATGAATTCTGCTCTGACCGAACCACCTTGATCAATTGGTCCCAAAAAACAGACCACAAATATTCCCACCTCCATCTTGTGTCACTCCTTTAATTATAGATGGACCCGGATTGCCCAAATTGCTTCCATTTAAATTAAGTTTCATCCACCCATCTATTGGGGGGGCCATTTCTCAATGGTTTTTTGTTTTCTTGAGGAAGAAAGAGCTATTGATCTCCAATTTCTATAAAGTCTTACACTGAAAAATCTGAAAATAATTTCAAAGTCTTCACCCAATGTGCTTCTCTTACTGTAAGTTGTAGCTACTTTAAGAACTTCCCCCATATTTCTTTCACTCTCCTCAAATGTTCTCAAGTTCCTCTTCTCCCAAACTGTGCATGTGCCTCTTAGAGAAGATGGGCTAAAAAGCCTTTCCAAGAAAATATGAGGGATCCACTTGCAACCAAAAAGAGAGCAGAATCATTCCCAAATACAACAAACAAAAGGACAGGAGATTAAGAGGTGGTAAGCAATTTCACCATTCAACTTACACAAAATGCACCAGTTAGGAGACAAGGACCACTTTGGTCTCTTCTTTYGCAACAGGTCACATATGTTTATGCTTCCATGATACACTTCCCTATAGAAGGCACTGACTTTTGGGGGGATAGCGGCACTCCATACTTCTTTCATAGGAAAGGACAAGGATGAAGAGGTGGTCGCAATGAAAAAAAAAGGATTTACAAGTAAACAAACTTGACAGACTGAGGGACCACACCCAACTATCACCCACAAAAACATCAAAAACCAGGTTACCCAATATATTCAACTGGCATGACACTATGGCGATTTTAGACTCTTTTCTCACTAATCTCAAATTCCATGCTACCCCAGAAGAGGAAGGAGCCCCAATGAAGTCAGACACAGGTTTCTCTTTAAGGCTTGAGAGAGCATACAAAGCAGGGAAAACATCTTTTAATAGGAGCTCTCTGACCTTTACATCTTCCCAAAATCTAATCCTATTACTAGAAGCTGGATTATACCTGATAAACTCAAGATATTGAGGGAGGATACCATGCACTGCTTTCCATGGTGCTGCTTGATTAGCCTTTTACAGAATATTAGCATCCCATCCATTCCTTGATTGCCCATGAACACTTGAAACCACTTTGTGCCACAACCTATCATTCTCCAAGGGGAAGTGCCACAACCACTTAGGAGAGCAATGTCTTTCTTACTAATGTTTCCTGGTCCAACCTGCCCACTTCTTTCTTTTTAACCACCATCCCCCATCTTACCAAATGATCCTTTTTTTTTCCGTCTCCCGCTTCCCAAAGAAAGTCCCTCATTAATTTCTCTACTCTCTTCACAACCGCTTGTAGCATCCTAAAAATAGACATGAAATAAATAGGGAGATTTGCCAAAGTGGATTTTATAAAAGTGATTCTCCCCCCTAAAGAAATATAGTTCCTTCTCCAACATGCTAATCTTTCCTCACCTCTCTCCAAGATTGGATTCCAAAAGCTAATAGACCTCAGGTTGCCATTTAATGGTGATCCTAAATATTTTAAAGGCTGCTCCCCTCTCTCACACCCCAAAATCTCATCTAATGAGTCTAATTGCTCTTCAACATTTAGACCAACCACCACACTTGCTCCAATTAACTTCTAAATTAGACATTCTTTCAAATAGGCTCACCACCAATTTCAGATTTTTCAACCTCGGTTCTGTTTTCCCCATCACAACAAATCAAAATGTCATTTGCAAACTGAAGATGGATTACCATCACTCTATCTCTCCCCACCACCCAACCATTAAGAAGATGCATATGACTAGCCCTTGTTATCTATCTACTTAGAACCTCCGCCACCATGGTGAAGAGGAAACGGGAAAGGGGTCTCCAGTCTCCTTGTCTTAGACCTCTGCAGGCTTCAAAATAATCAACCACCACACCATTAACAATCACCGGAAGGTGGCTTGTTTTCTTACAYGACAATTCCCCAAAACCACAATTTCTCATGATATTAATTAAGACCTTGCAGTCCACCCCAATGACAACACAACATACACGACGTCCAGCATTCCACCACCTAAGATTGAACCACCAACCGTCGTGGCACTTTGTTGTTGGGGGCCATCATTTGGGCCAACCGCACCAAAACGGAACAGGAGGCCAACATCTGCACCAACTCTCCAACACCTAATGGGGCAAGGGAGGAAGTTGCCCCTCCCTTTTTCTTAGGTCTTTTTTGGGCCTCAACACATTCATTTGCAATAAGAATTTGATCCACAATCTGTCTATACTCTTAAGCCTTAAAGAGAAACCTGTGTCTGATTTCATTGGGGCTCCTTTGAAATGAGAGATTATCCTAAATGAAAGCACCTTTGTAATGAGAGTTTATCGAGGGGAGAACTTTCTTAATCCTCAGAGACRACACCTTAGCTATTATTTTATAAATGCTAGTAACCAAGCTGATAGGTCTGAAATCCTTCARATGACTAGCATTAGACTTTTTAGGCACCAGAGTAATAAAGGTGGAGTTAATTCTAGGATTAATTATCCCCTAACATTCTTGATGAAAGGCCATTGTAATCCTGACACATGTCTACTTGCAAGTATATGGGGTTGGCAACATGAATCCTGTTTCACCATTCCATTCTGTTTAAATGCCATATCCATTGTTAAATTATGGGCACTTAAATAATTTCTAACTACTTTGACCCATGTCCTTTTTCTACACCCCTTGGGGCCCTTGCCCTTTTAGCCCCATCAACTTGCAATAGATTACTTCTTACAGGTGCTGTTATTGGTCTTCTATGCACATGACCAAAACCATCTTAGATTTTTTTTTTTTTTGATGAATAAAACCATCTTAGATTCTTAGTCTACTTTCTCACATTTTATCACTTATTGTAGCTACTCATAGGTTCTTTACAATGACTTCATTTATGACCCTAGCCTTTCTAGTTTTCCCACTCATCCATCTCAGCATGCCATTTCTGCTACACTCATTTTTTATGAGAATTTGGCAAGTCTTAGTGCCAGCTGCCAACCTGATGCAACCCTCCTCCATCCAGGCTTGGGAGCGGCAGTGTAAGACAAGCTCACACTGGTGGAGTTCAACACTATGTATTATGTATGTATATATTAGGGAAAAAAGTAATTTATTAATATATAACACATGCTCTTTTGTGTTTCTGACAGAAATTTTGGCCTGTGAGCATGAGGAGGCCTTAGTTGCAGCCAACGAGGCATTGAGAAGTCTAATACATGCATGCATTGATGAAAGCTTGATTAAACAAGGAGTGGATCAGCTTATGGAAAATGCAAAGGGAGAATCACGAAAATCTGGACCAACCATAATAGAAAAGATATGTGCTACTATTGAGARTTTCCTTGGTTATCGATATAATGCAGTTTGGGACTCGTCATTTCAGATTGTTTCAGCAATGTTTGATAAGTTAGGTACTATCTTTATTTCTTGTTATTCCTCTCAATTATATTTCATTTCTATTCAACAAATTCTTGTTATCAAAGATATACAAGCTTGTTCTTTGACCTGTAACTGAACCTAGAAGTTATGCTATTACCAATGATGACACCATGTTGGACTGTTGGGAGGTTGCAACCTCAAACTTACTCAAAACCTACATCTTTATCTGTGTTGTAAGCTGCTAATAAAAATGTATCTTGACTCCTGAATAGAAAAGGAAAAAAATAGCAAGTCTAAGGACTTGATATATGGTTGCTTAAATCATAGAAGTGCAAATGTGCAAGTGGCTCAGTGATATTGAGTTTCTTATGCTTGTAAAAGCTATTTGGATAAACTTCTTTATAGTTTCTACCTGGGGTATAGTAAAAGCTAACATTTTTGCCGGAGCTTGGTCATTTATCAATATTGTTGAATAATTGTTTTCAAATGTTCAGGGAAATATTCTTCTCATCTGTTGACGGGAATAATTAAGAGCTTAGTGGACTTGCAGAAGCTGCCAGATGAAGATCTCCTCTACAGAAAACAGGTAACTAGAATTTGTTAACATGTGCAGCATGTTTTGCTTGTCAACCTTAATATTCTGCAGCATTTTTAATCTTATTCTCTTGCAATAAATTCATTCGGTTGACTATGTCAATACTACAACATTCTCTCGACATTTTTCAGATAAAGAAGAATTATATCCATAATTTGAATGTGAGTGAGGTATCAATTATAAATCAGGAGAGAGTTGCAGGAATTTTTTTTGGGGTACTTAAAAGGTATCTGCTTATCGCCTCATTCAAGATTAAGAATAGAGTTTTTTGAGTGGCCACTTAGGATCAATATTGAGCTGAATGTTTTGAGAAACCCCCTAAGTTTGAAGAAGTTAGGTGAGCATAATTTCCAGGGATAAGTATATGGCTCTGGGTGGAGATGGTTTATTCGTGTCCCTTTATCAATAGTGTTGGAAGACCATCAAGTTGGATCTTCAGGTTTTTACAAAATTTCATCAAAGAAGTGTAATAAAAAAGGGGCAAATGCTACTTTCCCTGTCGTGATTCCATAATGTGCAAAAGCAGTCCAACCCTGATTGGTGGGAACTCTTTACAAGATTATAACTAAAGTTTCCCTTTAAGGTTGAAATTAGCGGCTAGCCCTTCCCTCCCTGATTACCCACTGCCAAAGGGCCATTATTCAGGATAGGCAGATTGTTGATGAAAGCCTTATTGCCAATGAAAGCTTGCAAGAGATGATTATGTTAGGCTAAAAGGGATGAGTTTGTAAATTAGATCTAGAGCAGGCTTATGATTGAGCAGACCTTGTTTTGGAGAGGTGTTGCAATGATTATTGGTTTATTATTTAATGGTGTTAATAGGTGATCAGATATGTCAAAAACACATATTGTTCAGTTATAGTCAATGGGAAGGTGGAGGGTGGAAGGTGGAAGGGTATTTTGAARCCAAAAGGGCGCTGAGGCAAGGTTACCCATTATTACAATTTTTGTTCGCCCTTGTTATTGGATGATTTGATTGAACTCATAGTTAGAGCATATAGCTTTGGTTTAATTCATGGGAGGAGAGGAATGGTAGAGTATTTGAGGAGAAGAAAGGAGATCGAAGAGATGTTATATAAAGTTTTGCTATTGAAAGGAGTAATTCATTGGGTAAAAATTTCTCAAGGTATTGGAGAGCTTTTTGGTGCTGAAGGAAATGGTGATTTACTTAGGTGGTAACTCGGTGCCCGGCTCATCAATGCAAAGAAACTGCATTTTTTGATAAATGAGTAAGATGCAAAGAAATTACATTTCATTAAAAAGGAAACTACCAGAATTAGGTAAAATGAAATTAAAGTTTGATTGGTAGCAGCATGGGTAATCCAGGACCATTGAGTGGTGGAGTGACCTTTGGGAACTGTTAATAGCACAGTTCTAGCTCTCTATTCAAGTCCAATGGGATACAGGGATTCAGCAACAATGGTATTAAAGCTGTGCTGCAAAGATATAAGAATGGTAAGGTGTTGAATCTAAAAAACATGGTGGTGGAGGGAGATCCAAAAGCAGTTGTGGGCTGGCTATGCAAGAAGAATCAGGTCACATGGCAGCACTTGAATACAATGAAGGAAATACAAGAGATGGGAAGAAGAAAAAAATTACAGAATATAAGTTAGCTGTTAAAGTGTGAGGCTGTTCTGTAATTGCTGCATGGTCAGGATGTTCCTTGGGTAGTTGGGAGTTAAGATTTTTTAGTTCCTTCCTTTGTAATTCTGATTCTCTCAATCATTAATAAAATTTCATTGTTATTGATAAAAAAAGACTTTATCATTTGCTTCTAATGAAATTTAATGAATCTTATCTATCAGAAAAAATATAAATGGGTTAGCTGGTTCAGCCAATGATATGGTTGGTTCATGTCTAAGCAGGGAGTGAACAGACAAGAATTATTTTGGGGACACTGATGACTGTGATGTAACATATACATATTTTTAGGGTGGACTTTGGAGGCTGCAGAGCCTTAGATGATGGGATTTTCCTATGTACTTATTGTTCTTGAATTTTTTTCAATAAAATCTGAAGTCGTAAATAGCTTTTTATTAGATTAGTGAGTCTATTCCCACAAGATGTGCTGGATTTATTTTGCTTGAATTGTACCTCTAGCTAATTGAATTAACAGGGAGTTTATTACCTTTGTCCATCACTCCATCTATATTTTACCCATTTATAGAATTCTTGCCACCATATATCTGGGTTTGTTTTTTTGTACCTTTAGCTAATTGAATTAATGGGTATTTAATTTGGTTAAAATAGTGGTATAGAAGCACCTAATAGACATGAAATTTTGCTGGGTTTTGTTCCTCATGATTTACATTTCCTTCTTGTGCATACTCACTTTTAGTATTGTCACCATTTTCATTCCTAGAAAGGTAGTAGATAAATTGCTGGCTACCAGAGGCCAACAAACCCTTTTAAAATCATTGAACAGTTGTATTTTATGTCAACTTGCTTCAAGTTTTACCCTTGCAAAATCATTGAACAGTTGTATTTTATGTCAACTTGCTTCAACTTTTACCCTTGCAAAATCATTGAACAGTATAGTATTATGTCAATTTCAAGTTTCAATTCAAATTCATGATAGTTGACCTTGATGCTATGGCCTATGGATGCATTTTGAATTTTCAGCTGCATGAATGTATTGGATCAGCTCTGGGAGCAATTGGACCCGAAACGTTCTTAAGCCTAATACCTCTTAATTTAGAGGATGAAGACATTACTGAGGCCAATATTTGGCTGTTTCCTATTCTGAAGCAATATACAGTAGGTGCCCATTTAAGTTTCTTTGCAAAGTCAATTTTGGGCATGGTTGGACTTGTAAGGCAGAAAGCCCGGATGGTATGAACCTTTTTCTCAACAATGCTATTGGCATTCTTTGTTTTAAGTGTGGAGTGATATAAGTTTCATCTTTTCTCTTGCAGCTTGAGCAAGAGGGACGACTTTTCTCTTCAAGGAGTACTGAAGTACTTGTGTATTCACTATGGTCCTTATTGCCTTCCTTTTGCAACTATCCTGCAGACACTGCTCATAGCTTTAAGAATCTAGAAAATTCCCTATGCACTGCCCTTCGTGAAGAGCCAGATGTGCGTGGAATCATATGTTCCAGTTTGCAGATTCTCATTCAGCAGAACAGGAGATTGCTGGAGGAAAATAATGATACATCTAATGATGATATTAGCATCCCCAAGCATAAAGCTATGGCCTGTTACACACCACAGGTTGCAACTGACAATTTAAATGCACTGAAGGCATCTGCCCCCAAGTTATTGCAAGTCTTATCTGGGATATTCATGAAAGCTTCAAAAGATTGTGGCGGATGTTTGCAGGTATGTCCACTTTCTATTAATGAATAAGTTTTTTGATCAATAACTGCTTCGTTTTATTAAAGATTTAACTTAAGTAGAACAGGTGAGAGATAAACTATCTTAATTCTTCCTGCATCAATACACAAAATTACAATAATGCCCAAAACCTTTGATCTCTTCCCACCCCCCTTTTCACTAGTACATCTGCAAAAAGAATTTGCACTCATAACACATTGCAGTTTAATTTCTGTATTTTATGTTGGCCAGTTAAACTTCTTCCTTTTGTTATGGTAGCACCAAAATCCATTTTCCTCCTTTTGCAACCAACCTACTACCAGCTTTGAGTCTCCTTCAACAATCAACTTTCCAATGTTCAACTCCTTCCTTTGCACTTCTTCCAAGGCTGTCAAGACCTCAGCTCTTAACCTACACCAATTGGACCTGAAAAGAAAGCTAGTATTTTTCCCCTTCATTCCAGAATACTCCTCCAATGCCTAAGGGATCAGGATTCCCTTCATTGATACCATCAAAGTTCAACTTTTTTTTTTTGATAAATACCATCAAAGTTCAACTTAATGAAGCTGCTAATATTTAGAGACCAAATAGGGTATATAACAACCTTAATTGGACTTGAAACAGCCACCTACTTACATTTTCTAAGAAAATCAGAATATTGCCACAATGTGACTGTAAATTTATAGCTTCCAACTCTGCCTCTTCTTCAACCAAATCAAAAAGAGCATTTCCTTTTTCAAAAGTTGTGAATATAGTTCCTTTGAGCTTTAATCGTTGACTTGCCACCTCTGCAATCTTCTTCCAATCCTGAACCTCTTCCTTCATTTTCAGCTACCAGCATCTTATTCAACTCTTCTTTCCTTCCTGAACATCCATCTTACACTTCCAGCTCCCTCTTGCTATGATTATGGTCTTTCCTTCTTTTCTTCCTTCAGGGAAAACCAAGTGTTTCCTTCCTTTTTCAAAAAGTTCAAACAGGGCAATGAAGCTACCTCTGTCATTCCTCCTCTGCTTCATATCTTCTTTCTTCCATCTCCATAACACTTCCATTACAAGCTCTTTTCTTTGTGCATGGCTTCAGCAACAAAGTTCTTGAACCACACAACAAAGATACTTTTCCCCAACTCTGACTTCTTCAAACTAGTGTTTTAAAAGCGCAAGGGCCAATTTGCGCCTGAGGTGCAAGACGCAAGGCGAGGCGTGCACCTTTTTATGCAAGGCACAAAAAATACAAAAAAAACTAAAAAATAAAAAAAGTCAAAAAATTGAAGAAAATGCCAAAAAATTAAAAAATGCAAAATATTCAAAAAATATTAAACATAATGTTAATAAAAATATAAACTTAAATTTTAAAATAATTGTTTTAAAAAACCTATTGTCTAAAATTAAAATACATAAACATAACATGTAAAGCGTATTCAAATGAAAATTTAAAAATGAAAACAAACATATAAAGCATTTTCAAGCATGTAAAACCCACAATCTCTTTTTCTCCTCAATTGCATTGCTTCAAGTAGCTAATGTGATGTAAAACATATTGCATTCTTGATTCTATGAGTTGCCTTTGTACCACACCCCTCGAGGCAACCCTGAACAAGTCTATTTTAGAGTTTGAAATTCTTATTTCTCACATAAAAAATAATGATTTTATCTTTCATTGCATTTTAAAAAGATATTTTGTTGCAATGAATGAATGAACAACATTAGCAAAAAAGCAAAAAGCACAAAATTTTAAAAGGCACACGCTTGGGCTGAGGTGCAAGCCTAGGCGCACCAGGCGCGCGCCTAGGACCTGGGCGAGGTGCTTACCCAAAAATGCGCCTAGGCGCGCCTTTTAAATCACTGCTTCAAACAATTTTGGCTTCAAACTTCACAACTGTCCTCCATATGACTTTTTCCAGTACAGAAAGGATAAATAATAACTACAATCCGTTTGATAGAAGGAGCTTGTGCAGAAAAATAAGCTTAGATTTTCATTTATTCTCCAAATAACTGCCCTTGTAGGTGTATATGATGCTCAAATGGACATGAATAGAGCATTATGCCAACTATATGGGATAGGCTCCTTCACTATTTTAAGGCCCACTTTCTCTATGAAATTGTTTAGACCTTGGATATTTCCTTGTTTATCTAGAACCATCTACTTAGATAAGACTTATAAAAGACCATTTTGTAAGGTGCAATGAATGATCTTCTATGACATGCCCATGCTATCATAGTCTAATTTCTCTCATTTTATCCCCTATTAGGATTATTACTAGTTTCCTATCAGTGCATTAATTTCCAATTAATGTTTTCTTTTTGTTACACATCTATATCACCATCTGTATTTCTGTTTTACACATTTATGAACTGTTATGTCTTCTTTGCTGGAAACTCTGTTTCACATACTTTATAGCCATTTTTATAAAAAGTTTTATTTAATTATTTATTTCACTCTGCTCCACCATGGATGCATATTTTCTTTGTTCACCCTAGGGGTGTTCACGGTCCGGTTTGGAGATCTCAGACCAAACCGGTAAATTACGGTTTGAGAAATTTCCAAACCAAACCAAACCAAACCAGACCAAACTGGTTTTTCACGGTTTGGTGCGGTTTCTAATACGGTTTGGGGACTTGGCCCATTCTATAATTCTATTGGGCTTAATCCAATTAGAAAGCCCAAATGGCTTCCCTAAAAGTTAAAACTTTAAACTTTTATTTTGTTATTTTATTATAAAATAAAGAGTTTATTATACATTTATAATTTTATGCATTCAATTTAGATATATTTTATTATATATAATATTTATACATCGTATACTCATATTATATTTATACATTTACATTATATATATAATTTCAGTTTATGGTTTATGGTTTGTTTCAATTTATGAAATCTAATAAACCAAGCCGAAACCGTAAACTGTAATTTAGAGAACTATCAAGCCGAACCAAACCGTAAATTCGGTTTGGTTCGGTTCGGTTTTACGGTTTGAACCATATAATGAAGTAATGAACACCCCTAGTTCACCCTCTCCAAATCCATAGGCATCATTTTGTTATCAGTAATTGAATATGTTTTTATTGATATTAATAATTTAAGATATATACTTCAAACTATACAAGCAGTACAGTCACGTTTTATGTACACCCTTGATATCCAGATACCTGTATATGCCTGGTGTTACAGTGTCGGATATGATATCTGATACTGCATCTGCACGGATACTTATAGATGTACTATATAGCATTAATACATTATGTAAAATGGTACATATTTAATAGATTATACTATAAAAAAATCTGCACATATTCGGAACATAATTAAATTTGGCAGGACAAAAGTTTTGATAAATAACATTTAGCTTGAAAAGATGGATAGAAATGTATGGTATAATCTTACTACATGGGATACCCATGTTCCTAAATCCTAACCATCTCCAAGATTTTAGGATATGGAGAGTTTTATGTATGCTTCACGCATCTCTATCTGTGTCCATATGCATGTCTGGACATCATAGAGATATACATATACACAGCTATGCCTTACCCTCACTCCATAGTATGATCATCGCATCAAAACGCTTCAACCGAGGGGTACTTCTCCCTAGTTATTTGTGTATTTACTTCTTCACAAGCTAAGGACCCAGCAAGGTGATTGGCTGATCTAGGGATCCACGCAGCAATTCTATGGGCATAATCATGTTCAATCTCGCTCTTGTTGTTGGACCAAAGCGGAGGAAGTGCTAACTTAGATGCGAACAATCTGAAAGAATACACTAATATATTGCTAATTTCATCCATATTATATTGAATTCAATCTTCTTTTAAACTCCCCTTCTGTTGTCATAGCATGTGACTTGATTTCAATCAATTGCAGTCCACAATTGGTGAGCTTGCTTCCATTTCGGATAAGGATTTAGTTGAGAAGTTCTTCAAAACCACAATGCAGAAGCTTCTAAAAGTAACTCAAGAAGCTCAGGCTCATAAAGCAAAACAGCTTAGAAATTCCAGTTCTATGCAGATTGACAATTCAGCCAATGAAAGTTCACCATCACTTTTGAGGTAGTTTTTCTTCCCTATCATTCCTAGTGTATATGTCTTATCTTCACTAGCAGTCTAATTGTCCATTCTATTTTTTCTATGCCAGTGTTCCACATTTAATCCCTAGTTGACTAAAAATTTGCAAAGATAAATGTATTGATCTTCCTGATTTCAGGGCACAACTATTAGATTTAGCTGTGTCACTTTTGCCTGGGTTGGATGTCAGAGCAGTTGATGTGTTATTTCATGCAATAAAGCCTGTTTTAGAGGTTTGTAGATACTATAGCTTCTGTGCGTTAACACAGGAAAGGTTGCAGTTATTTTGAGTAAAATGTTCTTATTATGCAGGATGATGAAGGCTTTGTGCAGAAAAAGGCATACAAGATCCTTTCAATTATCCTTAGGGTATTAATTTTTCTCATTGTTTTGTTTTTCATTTTATTTTTTGCGGATTTAAGTTTTATCACTTGTTCATAGAGGCAATGATTATTGTGTCACTTATTTTCTTTGGGATCTATGCCAAACCTTTATGTTGTATCTGTTTTGGTCCATGTGAAAACATAGATGTATAGGATGGATAGAGATCCAGGATTCAAGGGGACTTGGTAGAGATTTTCTAGATGAAATTCCTGGAGGTCATTTTGGCCATCATATTTTTTTTTGATAAATGAGTGAAATTTTTTGGCCATCATATTTGTGAACTCCAATTTTTGAAAATGATCACTGTATTTGTATTAGACAAAATGTACATGAATTCTAATTTTGGTGGAATTTGTAACCCCGATAGACCCACTTAAAGTCCAGCAAATACTTCCATCCTGTCTAAAGAAAGCTCCTCCAATATCTGCATCCTTTATGTTACCAAGGGAGTTTCTATCAAAATATTTAAATTCCAATTAATGGACTCACCAAAATAATTTTGTTGGCTCTAAAATCCCAATGGATTTAATATGTGTCTTAGGAGAACTCACCCCTAAAACCTAGCTGTTAGAGGGAAGTAACCCATGCACATATATACCAAACAACAGTATCTCATACTACTGATGTAGGATATCTCACATTAGCGTGGGAAAAATGGATTGTAACATTCCACCACACGCAGGCTGGCTTTGCACTAGTCCACCTAGTCCCGGACGAACATTGCAATACTGACGTTACCACCTGTGCTGCACGATTGCAACTGGGAGGCATGGTGTTGGCTCTGATACCAATTGATACCAATTCTTGGGAATTGGGGTTCAAGAATTCAGGAGAGTTGCAGAGTCAAGAACAGTTCTTGAGAGTTCTTGGTGAGAGGATTACTACGAATAAGAGAGAGGAAGGGACAGGGGAAGAGAAAGAGAAAGAAAACTCTGGTGTATATATTTTGCATTTGATGTTTACATCAGATTTTTATACACCGGAATTTTCTTTCTCTTTTCCTCTCCCTCTCGCTCTCATTCGTAGTAATCCTCTCACCAAGAACTCTCGAGAACTGTTCTTGACTCTGCAATTCTCCTGAGTCCTTGAACCCCAATTCCCAAGAATTGGGAATTTTTGTTGGTAATGAGATTAACATATTTTTACACATTCACCAAGAATGCTCCGACACTTCTCTCCTCTCTTATGGAACATGGAATCACAGCTCTCAAGTACATCCACATAGTCTTTCTCCTTTTTTGTTTTTTWTTTTGGTAGGCATATAGTGTGTGTGTGTGTGTTTGGATTTTGAAGTTATATGTGTATAGACTACACTGTTAGATTTAAATTTCTCTAGTTTTATGCCCTAATGTTCTTTCAGTTAATATTCTTGCTAAATTTTCCTGACAGGACCGTGCTGAGTTCCTTTCAACTAAGCTGGATGATTTACTTGATTTGATGATCAAAGTGTTGCCGTTCTGTCATTTTTCTGCCAAACGCCATAGACTTGACTGTTTGTACTTCTTGATTGTCCATGTTTCTAAGGTTATTGACAAAACCACCCACATTCTTTGTTCTTGGGATATATTGTTCCAACAGTTTAGTTAATTTCTATTTTACCAAGGGACAAAGAACTTTGATTTTTGTGCATTTGTTATCTGATTGGAACACCAGATATATTTTAGAAGTTGTAATGCGTTCTTGTTTTTACAGGATGCATCAGTGCAAAGGAAACATGAGATCATTAGTTCTTTTCTAACTGAATTAGTACTTGCATTGAAAGAGGTACTCTAGATTGCTCCTTTGGTTTCTCTTTCACTGTATTATTGGAGGTTACTTTTATTAGATGATTTGTTTCCATATATTTGGTCAATGTTTTGGTGGGCTATCATTGTTAATAGTTGATGCACATATCTGTGCATTCTTATTGCCAATGAAAACAATCATAATCTCCTTATAGTTGATGCACATATGTATCATGTATGCATTTGTTTCATAAGTTTTCTGTGTTGTCCAACCGTAGGCTCTGTCTAGTTATAGTTCGTTTATGTATAAAGTTTCAAAGTTATTGCATAAGTAGTTCAAGAGCTATTTCCTTTGGCTCAAAGTTGGATAGCGGCAATGGATTGGTATACAATAAATATGTATTGAACGTTTTCGACATCAATGGATTAATACTATTTGAGCTCTTACAATTTATGCTAGGACTTGGGAGTAGTGAGTGATTCTCACACCTTAAGACATCCACAAAAAATTCTCACATCTTAAGACATATTCTAACAATTAAAGAAGTTCTAGCCTTCTAGGCCCCTGTTTTGGTGATTCTAGGTTTTTTTTCTCTTACTTACCAAGTTTCCATGAGCAATTACAGCCTTTTGCACAGCCCACAAGTTCTTCATTCAAGGAACTCATTCAAAATCAGTAAATGATTGAAATTGACAAACATACTGTAAGAGCATAGACTTGCATAAAACCATGGCTGGTCATTAGAGGGTGTGTGAAAGTTGCAGCTCAGCGTTCATAACATTCAAAAAATAAGATGTGCTGATAAAAGAAGAATTGCAAAAATAAAATGTCAGAAATAAGAGAATAAATAAGCACATCCATGGAACACATGTCAGGTTGGGAAATGCATGTAACCGTGTATCAGTCCTATTGTGTCCCTGTTTATAATAAATAAAAGACGACATGGCATTGTTGATTGATCTTGTTAGAAAGGTATTCTTTTATGACAAATTCCTTTCTTGTGATGCTGAAGAATAGACATCTGACTTAAAAAGTTAAAGTCCAGGAATTTCCAGGAGTGGCTATAAATACCCACTCACATCCCCAAAAGGAGACACCAGAACAGTAGACCTTAGAATCAGGAAAAGGGGAGTATCAGCGTTGGAGCCTATACAAGGATCCCCAAACAGGTTCAGGATCTGCTATTATCAAGGGAGCTTGAGCTTCCTCCTGTAGCAGCTTTTCAGTGTTTTCACACACATTCTTTTCTCACAAACCTGTAGATCATCAGATCTGAGAGAACTTAGGTCCCTCACTCACTCTCTTCCCATGTTTCAGAGCTCAGATCTTTTCAGTCATCATCACCACCTTATACATTTCTCTGTGGTTTACATAAAAAACTGGAAGTTTTCTATTTCAGCTATTTTTGTCTTTTTTGTGTCGAACTTCTCTCATTTTTTTTGACCAGCCTCTTATTTCTCTCTTTTTAGGTACCCTATGTATCTTCGTCACCTTCATAATGCCAAATTTCATCCCAAAACTCCACTGAAATCCCAATTAATTTTTTAATTTTCTATTTTTGATATATATTTTTAATTTTCTATTTTCCACCCTCTTACAAAGAATTTGCAGTTTTGAGGAATTTGACCTAGATCCTTTGGAACCCTTCTTTTTTGGTTCCTTAGAAGTTTCCTTCAAATTACATTATCCCATGCAATTCATTAAAAAAATTCTACATCTACACTTAGTTCTTGAATTTCCTTTTTTTCCTCACTATCCTAGAAAGAATTTGCAGTTTCAGCAGTTTGATCCTGCAAGGAATGGTAAAATCTTGGGTTGGAACCATATCTAGTCTACCCCTCCCAAGATCCCATGTAACTGAAACCAACATTGGGTAATGCAGTGATTTAAAAGGTGTGCCTAGGCGCATAGGCGAGGCGCATTTTAGGGTAGGCGCCTTGCCTAGGTCCTAGGCGCAACCCATTCAAAAGGCACATGCCTGGTGCGCCTTGCGCCTTAACCCAGGCATGCGCCTTTTGAAAATTTGACGCTTTTTCATTTTTTTGAGTCTAGCGGATGGGCTGGGGGCTCCGCCCCCGGACCCCCATGCCATGCCCCTCAAGGCCAGCCCAAACAAGTCCATGTTAGGGTTTTAAATTCTGAATTTTCACACAAAAATTAATGATTTTTTAGTTTTAACTGCTTTTAAGAAGATATTTTATTAGGATGAATGAATGGACAACATTACCAAATAGGGGATGGCGGCTCGTAGAATTAGGAATGTAGTATGTCACATTAGCTACTTGATTTAATTGAGAAAAAAGAGATTGTGGGTTTTATATGTTTGATTTCATTTTTAAATTCTCATTTGAATATGCTTTACATATTATGTTTATGTATTTTAATTTTAGATAATAGGTTTTTTAAAAACATTTATTTTAAAATTTAAGTTTATATTTTTATTAATATTATGTTTTATAATTTTTTTTGATTTTTTTGGCATTTTTTATTTTTTAGCCTTTTTTTTTTTAAATTGTGTGCCTTGCCTCAAAAAGGCGCACGCCTCGCCTTGCGCCTTTTTTTGCACCTTTCGCTTTTCAAACACTTGGGTAATGGCCTTTTTTAACAGTTTGACCCTATTAGATTGTTAAGCTCAGTTTGGGAAGAGTGCAAATACAAACACGTACATGCAAATATCCCATATAACTGGTGGTTCGTCAATTTGCTTCTCATTTCTTATGCTAGAGAAGATCTAGGTTATTTCTTGGTTCTGGTTGAAGGGTATTGATTAACTTTATAAGTATTGGTTTCTTTGGTGGTTTGGGTATGTTAAAGGAACTAACTACTCAAGTCTTGGTTATGTTTCCATTCTTCATACCGAGATTTAGTTTTTTTCAATTTCTTTTTCCTACTCTGAATCACATTGTTTGTTGGTCTTTTTGTCATCATTGGTGTGCTAGACATTAATGTTGCTCTATTATTGTCTTTGGCATGCTTTGTGCTCGATTTCATTGGCTTCATTCCATTTGCAATATTCTCATGCATTGTCTTTGCAGGCTAACAAGAAGACAAGAAATAAGGCTTATGACATACTTGTCCAAATTGGCCATGCCTGTGGAGATGAAAACAAGGGTGGCAAGAAGGAAAACTTGCTACAGTTTTTTAATATGGTAAAACTCTACTAGATGCATATTTCGGATATTTATTTTCCTCTTTTAATCTTGACATTTTTTGCTGCTAATGAATTATTAATGAACTTTTACCTATCAAAAAAAAAAAAAAAAAATCTTGACACTTCGTAGTATCTTCACGTAATGGAAAGGTTAGAGGCCTCTTTCTAAGCTTTTCTTAATCTCTTGTTGGGCAGAAGTTCTTGTGTGGTTGAAATGGATGTTTACCAACTGTCAAATGTTATTGTAGCTGAAATTTTCTCATGGTATCAGGTAGCTGGAGGCCTGGCTGGTGAAACACCTCACATGATCAGTGCTGCAGTCAAAGGTTTAGCTCGTTTGGCTTATGAGTTCTCAGATCTTCTTTCTGCAGCTTATAATGTGCTCCCATCTGCATTCCTCCTCTTGGAAAGAAAGAACAAAGAAATAATCAAAGTCTGCCCTCTCTCTTTGGAAGATGTTTTGAGTGTTGTCTTTCTTTTGTTTGAGCTCACTGTGAATAACGTTCCCACCTGCCCTAAAAAAATATTTTTATGTCATCTTTTTAACTGTGTGCTTATGTGTGTATGCCAATTTTTATTATCTTTTACTGGAAATAGTTTTTCCTGACTCATTCCGAATGCAGGCTAATTTAGGTCTGCTGAAGGTGTTGGTGGCCAAATCGCAAGCTGACTGGCTGCAAATGCACTTGAAGAGCATGGTCGAAGGACTACTGAGGTGGCAGGATGACACCAAGAAGCATTTTAAGGCCAAGGTTTGTGTTTTTTTTTTTGTACATCCTGAAACTGTGTTTTAATGTTGTAATGAAATGCTTTTCTTCTTTATTTGTCAGTTTGAGGACTGTCTCAACTTTTGCTAACTCCATATTCTTTTGAACTGTGAAAAAGAGTTCGTCAAGCAGCATTGAACTGAGTGCCATGGAGATCTCTAGTCAAATGGTTTACTGATTGTGCAATTAATTAAATTCTTCTAGTTATACTGTTACTTTTCTCCCACCATCTCATGAAAACTGCCTTTTCTTCTGTCCCGTAAAGTTTATTTATTATAGATCTATCATGGACATTCATCCTGTTTCTATGGCACAATAGAAACAGGATCTAATTGTTGGATTAAGGATGAAGTTTTGGAAAACTTGTGGTGGGAAAACCTATCATTATGTTTAGAATATTGTTGGATTTTTTCTTCTTTTTGAGTTCAGAATCTTTACTTTTTTTCTGGTACATATCCTTGAATCTTTGCTTTTTCAAATCATAAAAGTAAGCTTATCGTAAACTTGGATGTTGGGGGTCTTGTTTGAGATTTTGGTCTAAAAAGAGTTGAGGGAATCTGCTTAATGATATCAATGATGCTAACCAGAAAGAAAAATAATTTGGGGTCCCAATACAAGGGGTCTTTTCTCTGTGCTTCAATATACTTTATCAACCAAATCGCTCTTTCCCTTGTAAAGAGATATTTGGTTTGGTCTATCACCCCCAGAGGTGAAAGCTTTTGGAGGCTACTCTCAAAATCATTGACATGGAGCAGATGCTATGAAAGAGACAAAAAATCTAGGTGTCTCCTAATGTGTGTATCTTGAGTCTTAGGAGTAGGGTGAGTGTATCTCATCTATGCTTATCTTGCTAATATTCATCTTTGACGTACTAGGGCAACAATTCTAAAGAGTATATTGGGTAAAAGAATATGCAAGAATCTCAAAAATAAATAACAAAATGCACAGAGGTTGATGGATATCATAGTTTGATCCCATTGGGTTTTATCAAGTGATGAGTGCAGAATTGCTTTAGAGAATGTCCCAAGGGGGTATACTGTACTTATCAAAAAAAAGTCCCAAGGAGATGCTAGATTGTTGTGGGTTATTCTACAAAGAGACAAGTGATGGAAACTTGGGATAAACCCAACTTTGGAAGATTAAAATTGTACTTTTACATATTGTGCCTAGAGAATGCAGGTATGCCTGGCATGAGGAGGTATAATGAAAGATGATGATGTTGGGGAATTTGACCTATCCTGCAAATTCTGTTTTGCAGAAACCATAGTTCTCTGGTCCCCTAGGCTGTGGATTTTTTTTTTAAATAAAAGACATGAATCCTAGGGTAGTTCCCTAGGTTCCATAGTAACTAGCAACTATCATTCATGAAAAATTATCTATAGTTTTCATAAAAAAGTATAAACTTCATATTAAAATATAGAAACTCAAACAAATTTGTGAGAAGAAAATGAGAAAAGAAAAGAAATTTCTGAAAATATAGGGACTAAACCCCTGTTTTTGTCCGAGGAAAAGAAGAAAAGGTGGAAAAAGTGGAGGGTTTGAGAATGTATTTATCGGACAAAATTTTAAGTTCTTCCTTGTTAGTTCATGTTTTAATTTTTTTGAGGGTTCAAGACAGCAAACACCAACATTTGTGCTGATTGAAGTACAATAAATAAGAAAATAATAAAAAGAAATTGGTTTATAAACCCCAAAAATTATTATTTTAGTTTAATAATGTCTATTTTATTATTATGTTCTCAAAAATTAAGAATATAAAGTATTTCATAGCACATGTACAAATTGGCTCGGAAATTAAGCGAGGCTACCCTCAATGGGTGCCTTGCTGCCTAGGTCTCACCTTGACAACTATGGCAGAAACTTTTAATAATTTTGAGATAATTTTCTCTTAATGGCCGAGGATAAAGGGACAAAAAATAAAAGAAAAAACCACTTGGGGAGTGATTCCTCTTGCCATTGGATCATTGGTGATGGATCGGGTGTTGGTACTATCTTGAGTTTAAAGAAACATCTAGAGCTTCTTCTGATTCTGTTTGATCTATTGTGATGTATAATATCTGTTTTTGGCTTGCATTGAACTTTGTTTTTCTGAGTTACATCTCAGCATAGACTGTACAACGGAACAACAATATTTTTTTTTTCTTTCAATAAAATTTCCCTTTTCCTTTTTCTCAAAAAATTTCCCTTTTCCTTGTCAAAAAAAGAAAAAAAATAGTGCCAAGTGATGGGAATACACTTGTGAGGCAATTTTAGATAAATAAGGAGACAATGCATTGAAAATGAATTTGGATAAATGAGGTGATGACGCATTAAAATAAATTTGGATAAATGAGGAGGGACATGAAAACAGTTTCTGAATTACAAATGATTGGTTCCAGTCATTTGGATCTTACTTTTTGGACCGGGAAATGTTGTAGGTTGGGCTCATTGGTTGGATTTTATGGACAGATGAGCATGTGAACCACATGAATCATCCATTTTCTCAATGATATGCTTGCTATATTGTTTTTGCCTAGATCTCTGTTCAGGAGTGGAACAGTCACTATTATTTAATTGTATTTGATATTGCCAGGTCAAGCTGCTTCTGGGAATGCTAATTAAGAAATGTGGTTTAGATGCTGTAAAAGCAGTAATGCCTGAAGAACACATGAAACTTCTCACTAATATAAGAAAGGTCTGAATGAATTCTTTGAACAATTTTTTAATTAGAGCTTTCTTATTTTGAAATTCAAGTATCTAAGAACTTAATGATTACACAGATTAAGGAACGGAAAGAACGAAGAACTGCAGTGGGCTCTGAAGAAGCTAGTTCGCTTCACTCTAAAGCTACTACATCCAGGTGTGTATAGATGTGGAAGTATTTTGAACAGACCCACTGTTCTAGTCAACTTTTCCTATTTCAGCCTTGTGGAGGAATGAAATGACAAAATCAAAACTATTGAATCTATTCTTATTTCTTTAAGTAACATTAGTCCAAGTTCTAAATTTTTTATATAAAATGTTCAGAAGATTTTGTTTGCTTTTAGCATTGGCCTGTAGGRCTGAAATTGCCATATGAACAATAAAATTTGGCGTACTCATGAGTTTCTAGTACATTATGTAGGAGATCCACAGTTCCTCTAGATGACGTGGAGGTTTCTAGAAATCCTCACCTGACATCAATAATCTTCTATTTGGCTCTGTCAAACGCTGATACCCAGTAGTTGAGATGGTCACATGGCACCCCTCCATTCAGGAGGCACGGGATCAAACCTGTATGGCCAGTGGGACATGCACCATGCTCTGCCCCAACCCTGATTCCCCTGTACAAAAAAAAAAAAAAAAAACATACTGTCAAACCAATTTGATGAGATGATGTGTGTGGTATGCCTTCTTGTGAAGGATGCTTTAGTAAAATGATTGCAGTGAATTGCTTTTTGATATATTAATGCAAGTACCCAAAAATGATTTGCTTATTTCATCTAGACACCATGAACAAATGGCATCCAGTATTGGGCCACTTCAATTCCCCAAGCCATTATTTTATCTCATTTTAAAGTTATATTTTGGTTGACAACAAATACTTTGCCAAACCAAAGCTGGTATTTGACATGGACTTTGATCGTTGAATAAATTTTCAGGATAAGCAGATGGAATCATACAAAAATATTTTCGGATTATGGGGACGAGGAGAGCGAGGATACAGATGGAGATTACACGGAAGCTGAGATGATGTCTGGTCGACGGAGCAAGGCTTCCTCTGAGTTCAAATCCAAACAATCTTCATTAAGGTCAGTAGCAGAATTTTTTGATTGAGTTATCCAACCAAGCCTATAATATTATTCTGGACTGCCAAGTGGGGATGGGGGAAGGGAATGGTTGGGATTAAACATGTATCTGGAGAGGAGAGGTTTTAGTTTCAAAAATACGCTAAGATGGGAAAGAATTACGACCCTAAGTCTGAAGCATGCATTACTAGCAAGGGGTGGTCTCATTTCATCAAAACTGCATTTAAGAATATTACTTGGGACCAAAGTGATCATGAATAATACCATGACCAGGTCAAGACAAATACATCGATCAGATAAGAGCTTGCCAGAGGACATGCTTGATCAATTAGGAGATGATCCACTTGATTTGTTGGACCGGCAGAAGACAAGGTCATCTCTCCATTCCTCTAAACAACTCAAACGGAAGCAAGATTCAGATGATGAACCAGAGATAGATTTCGAAGGGCGGTTGGTGATTCGTGATGTTCATGAGCGTGGAAAACCAAAGAAAGATACGATGAACGATCCTGACATGGATGCAATAAGCCAAGCAGGGAGCCAAGTGTCTGCAAAGTCATCAAAGCAATCCAAGAAGCGCATGAAAACATCAGATTCTGGGTGGGCATACACAGGGAGTGAGTATGCTAGCAACAAGGCTGGTGGGGATGTGAAAAGGAAGGACAAGCTGGAGCCTTATGCATATTGGCCACTTGATCGCAAGATGCTGAGCCGTAGGCCCGAGCATCGTGCAGCTGCGAGGAAGGGTATGGCAAGTGTTGTGAAATTGACCCAAAAACTTGAAGGGAAAAGTGCTTCACTTGCTATAAAGGGTTTGAACTTCAAAAAGAAAACGAAAAAAAGCAACAAGAAAAGCAGGTAAGGGGGAGTGGCGTCTGTAATTGGAACCATTGATACGAGGGCCTGGGTATTTATTAGTTTTTATTCTTTGGTTGGTTTTCTTTTTTCACCTAAAGAGCTTAGGGGTTACCCAAATCCATCCATTTGAGTTGCGGGTCAAGTATGGTTCGAATTTGTAGAGAGCTCGTCATTTGTGCTATTCATTTACTGGGGTGTAATGTGATTTTCTTGTAAACCTAAAAAGTACAAAGTAATCGGAAATTCGGAATGGATACATGCACCCGATTTCTTTCTTGTTGAACCATTTTCTCGTTAAATCAATCATAAACACTACAAAGTGTCTATGTAATATTTGGGGTCAATGATAAATACCCCGCCGAACTTTCATTTGTGACAAATACCCCCCTTTGGAGTTCTGTTATTTAACTTTGAAAAGGATTTTTGTACAGATGTTTAAATTTTTTGAATCCTCGAATATCCAGATGAAATGGTAGAGGGTTTTTTTTTGATCGATATAGATTTATTGTTTTGTTTGGTTTTTATTGATTTATTTGAGAAATTAGTGTATATATATATATGTATTTGTATTTCAAGATGAAGAGAAACATTCATGATAGAGAAAAGTGAATCGAGAATATTAAGAAGCTGGTTTTATGCAGAAAATGAAGGCATTTTTGGTTAATTAGGGTTTCAGAGAAAAGTGCGAGGAAAAGAAAATAAGAAAAATTTAGAGAGGCATTTTGGTAATTTTATGCATTCCTGTTGTTTGTCTTTAGTGGGCAGGGATATTTGTCTTTGTTGCAAATCAAAGTTCGGGGAGTATTCGTCACTGATCCCATAATTTAATTTACGTTTTTTAGTATATTTGATAATCGGGCATTTGAGGAACTCCTCTATCTATAGTCTATACTGATAGACTGACTAGTTAGGATGCCATATGAGATATGCAACAATTCGGCCCTTCCAATCTCTCTCCAACTAGTTGTTGCACTACTCGGAAGCAGTTAACTCAACAAGGAATAACTATGAGCTCCATTCCTGCATTTACGAGACTTTTCAAAACTTACATTGCCACTTACAAAATGTTTTCATTCCTTTTTTGTTTGAATCGATTAAGATTTTTGGCTTTGACAAGTCTTGAACTTTGTAAAAATGTCAATTTTGACCCTAGGGCCATTTTTTAAGATGGGCTTATAAAAAGGCCTCTTGTAGGCATAAACAAACGATGTCTGAAATGGTATTGACAGATTCATTAGACAATGTGTATTGGCACTAAAGTAAGAAAAAGGCCACTTTCGACCTTAAAGTTTGAAAATGGGCTACTTTAAATAAAGTTAATTAAGTAAATTACTTCATGGTCTAAATAAATGACTCTAAATTCTAAAGTATAATTAAGTTAATTACATACATTAAAAAAGTACATTAATTAAGATAATTAAATAAATTAAGCAATTAAATAAGTAAATTAAATTATTTAAGGAAATGAAGTTAATTAATTAAATTTAATAAACAAAGCTTATTGATCTAAATAAGTAAATCAATCCAATTCAGCAAGGTTTTACTAACTAAACCAAAACGGAACTACTTTGGTCATCGATTTTTAGATCAGCGGTTCAATTGTTTTGTCCAAATGGATCAAGCCATGACGTTTTGAAAAATAAAAAAAATATAATTAAAATAAAAATGAGCCAAAAACCATTTACCAAGGCTCAAAGTATCGATACATATCGGCTTGTATCAGTTGATACGTATCGTGCCAGTAGCTTCCCGACTCGCCCCTACAGTATTGGGTCAAACCATTGTTCAGAGCGTAGCCAGGGCTTAAACCAACCCCTCTAAAACGGTTTTGGAAAACAATAAATAAAGCATAAAAAGGTACTGGTGTATCGRCCTGTGTCGATACTTTGAACCTTGCCATTTACTGTATTGAATGTTTAGCAATTCAATCATTTGGGTCAACAGTTTGTTGACCAGGTAAAAAATTTTGAGCGGTCAAACTGTTCGACCTAAGATTGGTCAATTGTCTAGTTCCATTTTATATGCCTAGGTGGTTGAACCATTGGACCTAGGATCCGATCAATTGCACAGTTCCATTTTATACTTGGCTAAAAAATTTTCAAAAAAAAAGACACGGTTAACAAACTGCTATCCTGGATAATTGAATTGCTAAATTGTTCAATTTACGGTTTTTTAGTCATTTTATTTTTTAAAAGGTCATGAGTTGATCCATTTGGATTGGACAATCGAATTGTAGATCTAGAAACTAGTGATGAAAGTGATTAGCTTTGTTTATTTAATTTAATTTATTAACTTTGTATCCTTCATTAATTTAATTTATTGATTAAATTGCTTAGTTTACTTAATTATCTCGATTAGTGTAATTTATTTAATTTAATTAATTAAATAAGTTAAATACTTTAGGGTCATTTAGTGGGATTGTTTGCTCCAATCACCTTCTTTTTCTCCTTCATTCTCCTTCGCTTCCTTCGTCTCTCCCTTAAGTGCCAACATCACCTCTCTCATTCTCCCATTGTCCCATTCTCCTTCGTTCACATTCTCCCTTATCTCCCTTAAGTGCCAACATCCTCCATCTCTCCCTCAAGCATACATCCTTCATCTCCCAACATCATTTCATATTCTCCTTCCATCTATCACTGGCCAGTAAAAAAAAGACTCAAGAATAGAAAGAGGTATGTATGAATGTAAATATGAAGGGTTTGATTGTGAAGTTGATGTGTTTGTTTCTTCGTTAATCACTTACTATTTCTTTATTTCTTTATTTTGTTTATTTATCATTGAATAGGAATCAATATTGACGTGGATGTATCTATGGAGTTGAGATGGTTAAATGGAGGAAGATTTGAGCACACCAATGGCCGATTGTTGTATGCTGGGGGTAAGGTGAAGCTTATTGAAAAGATAGATGTAGATAATATATCCTACTAGACATTGTTAATCATGGTAGAAGATTGTGGATATTCGAAGGATAAGGTGAGTAAAGTTTTCTATAAGGTGCCAAACTTGAGTAATAGTGATGGGTTGAGGGAAGTGATTAATGATTCAACCACATTTTTGTTGTTGAATTGTGCATTCGAGGGTGGGAATCTTGACATGTATGTGGAACACATTGTGTCAGACCTAGCATATAATGCAGTAAGGTGCATTGCAAAAGAATTATGTGTGTGTGTGTGTAGAGCGGGGGGGGGGGTGGATTTGAATGAACATGATGGGAGTTTGAATATTCTAGGGGTAATGGTGGCCACCATAATGTTGGTGACATTAGGTTGATTGATGATGCAATTTTTAAAATTCTGTAAGGTGATATAGAGGATATATATGGTTGTGTCACACAAGCCAACCCCATTGAAGGAGGGGGGGGGGGGGGAAGATAGGGTTCCCACTGATGGAGGGAGTGGAGAGGAAAACTCCGAAGCATGAATTTGACAATCTGCATCTATTGAAGGTGAGGAGGGAGGAGAGGGAGGAGGGAACCAATAATTGGGTTTTATCGAGTATGGTTCTGATGATGATGGATGCTACCATACAATTAGTGATGGGTTAGACAATGAAGATGAAGCAAATCACTTTAGGAGGAAGTGGAAGAGTTGTTTTGTGTATGATCCTACCACTCACTTTGAGTTGGGAATGATTTTCCTCAATAGCAAGCAATGCAAGGGGGCAATTATAAAACATGTTATAAAGAACCATAGGGACATTAAATTCAAGAAGTGTGAGTCCCAAAGGATTAGGGCTATGTGCAAGGATGAAAGTTGCCTATGAACATTTTATACTGTAATTGATAAGAGCATACATACTTTTCAACTGAAAACATATGTGCTAGAGCAAAAGTGCCAGTGGAGATTCAAAAATCCTAGGGTAACTTCTAGAGTAGAGATGCAAAAATTCAAAAATTGATAAGAACATACATAGAGAAGATGCAGTTTTCATCTCAAAAGTTGGATAAGAAGGATCTCCAAGCTGGTACTAGGGAACACTTGTTCTGTGATATCACCTTATCACAGTACAGGAGAGAAAAGTAGAGGGTTAAGGATCACTTTGCAAGTGACCTTAGTCAGGAGTACAAGTTAGTGTATGATTACGCTATAGAGTTATTGAGGTCTTATCTTAGCAGCTTAGTGTATGTAAATGTTCTTAGAGAGAATGCGGGTGAGAAACCTATCTTCAAGTAGTCTTATGTTTGTTTTGGTGCATGCAAGAAGGGATTTTTGGTAGGTTGTAGGCTAGTGATTGGGTTGGATGGGTGTTTCTTGAAGGGACCTAGTCATGGTGTGCTGATCTTTGCTATTATTGGAAGGGATGCAAACAATCAGATGATGCCAATAGCATGGGTAGTTGTGGAAAGTGAGAGCACTAGCAATTGGAAATGGTTCCTTGCTTATCTGATGAATGATCTTGGTATCAAAGAGGTAACCGGTGCTGGTTATATATACTATTATATTTGACCAACAAAAGTATGAAATTGACTCATATAGTGATATGCATRTTGGATTAATAAGACTAACTTTATGTTATGATTGTGAATTTTTTAGGGACTGGTGAAGGCGATTGCAAATCTACTACATCATGTAGAGCATAGGAAGTGTGCAAGGCATGCCTTTGCAAATAGAGGAGGAAATACGAGGGTGGGGAGTTCTAGAGACAGTTTTGGATGTGTGCTAAGGTCACTGCAACTAATGACTTTGAGATTGAGGTGGAGAATCTGAGGATATTAAAGCCTAATATTAAAGAAGATTTGTTGAAAGTAGATCTAGTGGGTTGGTTAAAGGCATATATTCAGACATCATCGAAGTGTGATTGTGTTGATAACATGTCTGAGAGATTCAATGGAGGCATCATTGAGTTTAGACATGAGACAATTATTATAATGCTGGAGGGTATCAAAGTGAAGATATTGTCAATGATAATGGAGAGAAAAAGCTTTGCCTCCAACTTCAAAGGAGGGTTTGAGCTCAAGATATGGGAAATGATTAAGGAATATAATGAAGAGATTGTTTGAACTAGATTGGTTTGGAATGGGGATCTAGGGTATGAAAACCAAGCAGATGTAGACAAATATGTTGTTGATATAGTGAAGCAGACCTATACCTTCAAGAGGTGGGACTTGATTAGCATACCTCATTCTCATGCCATATGTTACATTTTATATAAAAATGAAAAGATAGGAGATTATGTGGCACATTGGTATAGTAAGGATGCTTTCATGAAAACATGTTAGTATGCCATGTAGTTAGTGACTGGGATGAAGTTTTGGCCTAAGTTCATTGTCGAAGCACCTGAGCCACCAGCACCTAGCAAGAAGAGAGGAAGGCCATAGAAAAAGAGGATTTCTAAGGAATGAAGACCCTTAAGGTACAAGGCTTGGTAGGAGAGGTATGATAATGACATGCCACTATTGCTATA